AAACAGGAACGAGGCGCTGGCAGCCCCCGGAAGCTAGGAAGGCAGCATTGACCAGGCCCTCCAACATGGCCCTAGAAGAAACCAGCGTAGCTGACGCCTTGACTTTCCTTCCAGCCTCCAGACCGGGGGAGAATAAATTCATGACGTTTAAGTCTGGTCTGTGGTTCTGTCATGACTGCCAGCCCTGCTGGGACACTCGTGTAGGTGTGGCCCCGAACAGTCAACCCCACAGCCTGCGTGGGAGCCCCCATCCCTGCCCGAGGTGTCTTGCACTTTGTGGGACCCCTTGTCGAATGTCCCCAGCCTGCCAGGTTGGGCCTGTAAGGGGGTCCGTTTAATGGGAACAAAGCCGGGGTCTGGACACCCCCTGGGAGCCCAAAGCCAGGGAATGGGTTCCATTTGGGACCCATGTCCAGTTACAAATCTCTCTTGGGCAGGCACCTCTTCAGGGCCAGGCTGGTGCTCAGGCCCCAGACACCCCAGGAGAGTCAGTCCTGGGGTCTCCCAGCCACTCTCCAGTCCCCTGAAATTGCCGCCCCCAGGAGCCCGGCTCACAAGAGCAGCCCTCACCTGGGCCCCTCCTCTGGGCCCCAGGTTCTGCCTTCTCTCCTCTCCTCCCACCTGTGTCCACCCTGACCCTTGCTGCCACAGCTGAACTTCTCCACAGCCTGAGCGAGGCCCCCCAGGTGTCCTTACTTCACCTGGCGCCGATCTGTTCTCAGAGGGAGCACTGATCGCCAGAGGGCGGCCCGGCTCCCCCACCTCCTGCCACCATCCTGGGCCTGGCACTGCCTCCCCTTTCCCCAGCCTCCCCACCATGCATTCTCCAGGCTGTTTCACTAGAAACTTCTGAACCCGCTTCTATACCTTAGTCACTATCCGCCCCCCCGGGATTCTGCAGGGTGCACTGCGGCTGCACCCACGCCCAGTGCACCTCCTGAGTCCCACTGGCACACACAGTACATGCCCCAAAGGTTGGACAGAACTCCCTGTGGCTGGGCTTGCTGCGGATGGTGACCGAGTGACAACGCATTGCGCGGTGCTTATGGCAGGGCCCCGCCGATGGCACGCAGAAGCCCAGAGGCCTGAGCCCGGTCCCCAGCTTAGGCGTGCTGGGAGCCCAGGCAGGGGATCCTCTCCAGCAGGGCTGTGCCCGGCCCAGCACAGCCCCGCAGGCTCTTGCCCTTGCCCACGAGCCCTTTGGAATTAGGGCCAACTCTCAGGATGTGTGACACACCGAAGTGAGGTGTGGGGAAGAAAAGCCTTCAGGAAGAAGCAGTTTCACAAGATAAAACTGACGTCTTTATTTCAAGGCCACAAGAGCGACATCACAAAGCAGGGCCGGGCTGGGCCTACGGCTGCGGGCACCCGGCTTGGCCACGGCATTTGGCCGTGTTGGGAGAAGCCAGTTTCTTAGCGCTTGAAGCTGGAGAGGGACACAGGGAAGGTCTGAGTACATGCGGATGGGCCACGCAGGCAGGGGACCCCAGGCCCCCGGGCGGCACCCGTCTTGTCCGTCTCTGGTCTCCCACATCCTTGCTTGGTGGGTCACTTCACCTGCAGGCGACAGGGATGGCGTGAGTGGTGGGGGGTGCCAAGGGTCATGGGGCCCCCGCCCGCTGGCCAGGCTGGTCTACCTTGAACAGGGTGACGGTGGTGCTGTAGAAGAGGCTCAGGAGGAAGAGGACGATGAAGGTGGAGGCCATGGTGTTCAGGTTCTCGAAGCCTTCCTCATCCGCGCTCACCTCCCCCTCTGTGGGAGACATGGCGCAGAGTGGTCAGTGTGGCCGCAGCCCCAGCAAAGCCCACCCTAGCTGCCCATCACCCGAGCCCGCCCTCGGGCCCTTGGCTGTGCTGCCCCCCCGGCAGGGCTGGGGGTGGGGGCAGCAGAAACAAGCAGGAGGAAGGTATGTGTGCGGTGGGGCCAGGAGCTCCCGGGCTTGGTCAGGAAGGGTCTCTGCCAGCCACGGAGGCGGGAGCCCCAGCGGAATGGCCCCCAGCACCCCAGACTCTCCTGGAGGATGTAGGGGCACAACCAGGGCCACTGGGGGCTGAGAGGCAGGGAGTGGGTCCTCTTGTCCCCTGCAGCTTGGTGGGGCCCCTGGCCTCTGAGGACCAGCCCTGGGGCAGGCGGACACCTGTGCCCGAGGGCCCTCACTTTCTCTCTCTCCGTCTTGGAGCTACAACACGTGTGAGAGGCCGGGAGGGGCCCTGGCTGGCCTGTCGGCCCCACCAGGACCCATGGCTCTGGGACCAAGGAATCAGACAGACACCTAAGGTCCCAGAGAGAGTGATGTTGGGATGAACAGGCTGAGGACGTCCAGTAGGGTCTGCAGACCGCACACTGATGGGTCCTTGGGGGCATCTGGAGCTCTGGCTCCTGGAGGGCCTAGGAGGCAGCTGGGGAGGGTGCCCTTGTCGGAAGAGGAGACCCCGCTGGCCCCTGCTCCCCTCCTGCCTGCTGGGCTCCATGCCCCTCACTCCCTGCTCCGGGGATCTCAGGGCCCGACATTTCCAGGGCTGGGTGCCTGCAGGGGCAGACCTGGTTCACACGGGAGTGTCCCGCTCCAAGGAGGTGCCTCCAGAGACAGCCTCCCTGCCTCCCAGGCTGATGCTGGGTTCTGCCTGCTCTGTCAGGACATGCCCTGACTGCGTCTGTTCGCAGGTGGGGCTGGGGGTGGGGGGCACTGCCACCTTCAACTAGAGCCTGGGCTGGGAGGGGCACCCCTCCTGGACACGGGCTGGGGCGTTCCTGAGCAGCTGCAGCTGGCCAGGCCCAGGGTGACCCTCCGAGTTCTTCGCCCTGAGCCTGGGGATGGTGGCTGCGGCAGGGGTCCCAGCTGGGCCGGCCCACGGACACACCTCCAAGCGGAGGCAGGCCAGGCAGAGCTTGGGTGTGAAGCCCCACAGCCAGCGTGGTGCAGAGGGACACCGCCAGCGGGCACTAGGTGACTGTGGGAGTGCAAGCGCTGGCATCAGCATCCCTGTGTGTCCCTGTGCGTGTGCCCGTGTGCTCACGCGTGTGCATGCGTCACTGTCGGTGTGCCCACGTCTTGTCCGGGCACGTGCACGTGCACGTGTGTGCATGTATGTGCATGTGTGTCTGTGTGAGTGCCTGGGACCGTGTGTACCCGCGTGAGTGCGCATGTCCGTGTGTCTCTGGGTGTGTGTGTGCCCACATGCCTGCGTGTCCCTGCACGTGTGCAGGTGTGTGTGTGCTTACGAGTGTGTGTGTGTGTGTGTGTGTGTGGCACACTGGTGTGCCTCTGTTGCCATGGAAGCCGCCAGAGGAGCAGCAAGTGTGGGCTTGGCCTGCTGTGGGCATCTGGCAAGTGGTGCAGGGGCTTCCAGAGGTGGGTCGGAGCTGTGGGTGAGAGGCGGGGGGGAGGGTGGTGGAGGGCGGTCTGCGGGGTGGGGGCAGCACAGCCATGGCCCCAGCAGGGAGAGCATCGCTCACTCACAACCAGCATCTTTTGAATGGTCTTTTTTTATTTCTAATTTTTATAAAATGCAACATCCCAATCATTGACATGGTTAGTCTGCCCGCGTGCACACACACAGCGACGGCCACCCAGGGCCTCTGGCCCGGGCCCAAGTGGGCGGCCAGGCGGTCAGTAGCAGGTGCTGGCCGTGTCGGACATGACCAGGGACACGTTGTACAGGGTGGGTTTACCGGTGGACTTGTCCACGGTCCTCTCGGTCACCAAGTGGGGCAGGGCCTCATGGCCCACGACGCAGGTGTAGGTCGCCCCGGCACTCCAGTCCTTCTCGCTCACCGTCAGGACGCTGTGGACAAAGTAGTAGCCCGGGCTGTTGGGCTCGGGCACTGGGGCACTGGTCACGTAGTTGTCAGGGGACAGGGGCTCCTGCTCCCCCTTCTTCAGCCACTGCACAAACACGTCCGGAGGGGAGAAGCCCTTCACCAGGCAGGTGATGGAGGCTGACTCCCGCAGGCTCAGCTGCTCCCGGGCCGGCGGCAGCACGTAGACGGAAGGCATGTGCTTGTGCACTTCTGCGGGAGGACAGACGGCGGTGAGCTGGGGCGGGCCGCGGGCCGTCCCGGACGACATGGGGCACGGGGGCCTGCAGGCCCAGGCAGCCTGGGGAGAGTCCCGGGGCAGGGGGAGGGGCAGTGCAGGGCCTACCTGTGGGCTTGAAGATGCTCCGCTTCAGGGGTGAGGGCAGATCCAGGTGGGTCACCGTGCACGTGAACCTGTCTCCTGACTCCCAGTCCTCCACGCAGACTGACGCCACACACGTGGCGCTGAAGGTGCCGTTGGGGAGGATCGTGGAGTCAATGATCTGGGAATCCACAGCCTTTTCACCCTGGCGGGTCCAGGAAATTCTCAGGCTGTCGTAGGTGACCAGGCCTGTGACCAGGCAGGTGAGCTTGGCTGACTTGTTGAGGAAGATGTCGGAGAAGGAGGGGGGAATGGCGAAGACCTCGATGCCGGGGGAAGGACCTGGAGATAGGAGACAGTTGGTTAGCATGAAATCAGGCCAAGGTACAGGGCTGCCCAAAGAGCAGGGGCTGACTTTGCCGAGTGCCTCGTGAACTCCGGGCCCTGCTGGGGGAGGACACTGGGCATGTCTGAAACACTCCCCGAGCTGCCCTGCACAGCCCCCTCCCTGCCCTTGGCCGCTCTGGGAAGCCAAGGCTCAGGGAGCTGCTGGTCAGGTCTGGGGTGATGTCTGCAGACTGCGTGTGTGGGCCCCCCTGTCCCGGGGCTGTGCTCGGGCCAGACCACTCACTGGGGTTGCACTGGGAAGACACGTTCTTCTCGATGACCATCCCTCTGTGCTCCACCTGGCAGGTGTACACAGCCTGGCTGAACCAGTCGCCGTCGGTGATGGTCAGCATGCTGATGACACTGAAGGTCCCTGGATTGGACTTTGAGGCTTCCACATCTTCCGTAATGAAGCCAGACACCAGCCGCTTGCCCTCACGAAACCAGGACACGGAGATCTCCCTGGGGCTGAAGTCTGTGGCCTGACAGATGAGCTTGGACGTGCGTTTGGAAGTGCCAGAGAAGCCGTCTCGGGGGGGCATGAAGAGTGTCACGCTGGGGGGCAGATCTAAAATCACTGCAGGGAAAGACAGAGCGTCAGGTGGGCTGGCTTACT